TTTCTCATGATGTACTCTGCATATAAGTTAAATAAGCGGGGTGAAAATATACAGCCTTGACATACTCCTTTTCCTATTTGGAACCAGTCTGATGTTCCATGTCCAATTCTAACTGTTGCTTCCTGACCTGCATATAGGTTTCTCAAGAGGCAGGTCAGGTGGTCTGGTATGCCCATCTCTTTCAGAATTTTCCACAGTTTATTGTGATCTACACAGTCAAAGGCTTTGGCATTGTCAATAAAGCAGAAATAGATGTTTTTCTGAAACTCTCTTGCTTTTTTGAAAGTCCTCAGATTCTTCCCAAATCACTTAAGCAGAAGTGGTAGAATCTAGATTGAACCTGAATGTACCTACTGAGTGTTCTGTGCTGGTGCTAGTACACCGTGCTGCTGCCCAGGATCTCAGGATGAGCACGTTTTGGTGCTGAAATCAGAAATCCAAATTTAAAATATTTCTCACACATTAAAACACAATGAAAAAGTTATGAATAAGCAGAAAGTAACTTTAAAACTAAATCATGCCTGCAAACTCACAAGGGGATTAAAGAAAGGAAATTAAGTTAATTTGCTTTTTTAAAGAATAATAAATGTCGATGGCTATCTTAATATTATTTGTCTTTGAAAAACTAGTCCAGTAGTTTCCTTAGATATGAATTTCAAGTTGCAACATCTTCCTCTGTCACCTAATTTTCATGCTATCTGAAAAGTTCATACCATTGTTCAGGGCTGTCATTTCCGCTCCTAAAATGATTTCATATGCAAGATTTAATCTTTTTATTTCTGGATTATTGTCCTTCAGTAATAATTTGCTTCTATACCCAATCTGGACCTTCTGTGTTCTTTCCCAAATGGGTACTTAAGACAGCTTTTTAAAAGGATTTAATAAAAAGCTTCTATTAATCTTAATGTAAGAAATCTGTATTTTATGGTCAATGGCTTCCAGAATGAAAGTTTGCACGGCACCCTCCAGGATGGAGTAGCCTGTCAAGAAAGAAATTCTTTGGAATTGAAAGTGTATCTGACTCCAGAAAGAGGTTATTTGAGTCTCTTCTCTCTATGGACTTCTCTCTGAACTTTGGTTTACAGGAAAGCAAACTTTCGCCAGGCTTCAGCTGTGATGGTGCTCTGTATATTTAAATGCTCCATAAATTCCTATAACAGGGCTTTCCAGCCTGGCAGCTGCATGTAGGTTTTCGTGCAAAAAGAATGCCTCATGATTTAAATCCAGGTTTCTCAGCCTGAGAACTAGAGACATTTTGGGCTGGCTGATTCTTTGCTGTGGGGGCCGCCCTGTGCCTTGTAGAATATTTCTCAGTATCCTTGTTCTCTATCCACTAGATGCCAAGAGCGCACCTCCCCCATTTGTGACAACCAAAAATGCCTTCAAACATTCCCAAATGTCCCCTGGGGAGGTGGCTGTGGGAATCTCCATTGGGTGAGAAGCACCAATCTATTGTTGTTTAGTGACTCAGTCATGTCTGACTCTGTGCGACCCCATGGACTGCAGCACGCCAGGCTTCCCTCCCTGTCCATCACCAACTCCCAGAGCTTGCTCAAACTCATGTCCATAGAGTCAGTGATGCCATCCAACCATCTCATCCTCTGTTGTCCCCTACTCCTCCTGCCTTCAATCTTTCCCAGCTTCATGGTCTTTTCCAATGACTCTGCTCTTCACATTGGATGGGCCAAAGTCTTGGAGCTTCAACCTCAGCATCAGTCCTTCCACTGAATATTCAGGGTTGATTTCCTTTAAGATTGACTGGCTTGATCTCCTTGTTGTCCAAGGGACTCTCAAGAGTCTTCTCCAGCACCACAGTTCAAAGGCATAAATGACAAGAAAGGGGTCATTAAGACTGGGAAAAGTCCATGGGAGTGGGGAGAGGAATGAGTGTGGTGTAAGTGGGGGATAACAAGAAAACTAGAGAAAATCAGGGGATGAATACAGTGAGAATGTGGCTACACTGTTATAAAGATCAGTGAAGCATACTATAATTTTCGTATGAATTATATAAGATATAGGAATGTGTGTGTGTTTTAAGACCATCAAAGAGCTTATAGTTACCCTGGAAAAGCTTACTGTACTTTGGACATCCTTCAAACAGAAGGATCTGTGTCTTCTACCCACACCCATACCAGTGCTTGCTCAGGAAGTTCTGACTACCAATAAACCAATAAAATACAAAATTAAACTCTTTCTAATCCTCATTACTCAGAAAACGATAAGTCTTAATCTGATTTTTTTAAATGCTTGCTTAGAATAGAAATTTCCTTTAAAATATCAATTTTTATAACTACTATCTTTGTACTAATCTTTGTCCTAATAGCATACTAAATCTACAGAGTCCATCCTTTATGGAAAAAACTTCAAGATAAACAATCAAATTCATTTTTCTGGTATCATAACACCATGCATGTGTGCTAAGTCACTTCAGTAGTGCCCACCTCTGTGCAATCCTATGGACTGTAGCCTGCCAGGCTCCTCTGTCCATGGGATTCTCCAGGCAAGTTTACTGGAGTGGGTTGCCATGCCCTCCTCCAGAGGATCTTTCCAATCCAGGGATCAAACCCATGTCTCCCACATTGGCAGGCAGGTTCTTTACCACTAATGCCACCTGGGAAGCCCATCATAACACCAGTGGTTTTTAATCCTGACTCCATATGAAAGTCTTCAAAGAATTCTTAACACTGATGCCTTGGCACTAACCTCAAGAGATTCTGGCCTTCCAGTGTAGCAAGGGAGCCTGAACTGAGAGCTGATACCTTTTAAAATATCCCCAAGTGATGATACAGTGAGAATCACTGATATAAGCGAGATCCTTAGGACTTTTACCTAATATGTGGAATGTTCAGATTGACTAATTATAGAGACAGAAAAAAAAAAACCCAGTATAAGAAAATGCGTGGTCAGTTATCCACTTGTACTTTAGGCATGACAGATATCATGGACATTCTGGCAAGAGAAAAATTAATAGCAAAAATGGAAAAAGTTGGATTAGATTGTTGTTGATTTTATGCTGATTAAACGAGAAAGGCTGCCTTTCAGGGGGTGGTGAATAAATGCGTGGTCTGGGCCTTTTGTCCTACTGAGTTTTTGGAATGTTATACTGTGCTTCTCAGCTATCACTCGGAGCACGTAAACAGTCTTCTCTTATAAATCTCCTATAAATGTAAATATAAAACAAGATTCTTTTATAAATCTCCTCGAAGAGGTAGAATTATAGCAGACACCAAAAATAATGAGTTGGACAACAGAGAACAGTGTGGCAATAGCTCCTGAGTCCTGGGCCTGGAAGACCTTTGCAGGGAAATAAAGAGGGTGGATTTCACCTTACACTAGGAGCAAATGTATGCAAGATGTCCCCAGGAGTCTGTGAAGGCAACTTCAGAAAGAGAAACAAGGAAGTCTGTTATTACCTTGTAGTAACATAGCTGAAAGCCTTGTAGCAAGTAGTTAGATAAATTAGACTTTCAGTCAGCTCATATTAAGGCCCTTCCAGAATGGCATTTGATTTAATTGATAGTGTGTCTGGCCTCCCATAGAAATGTCAGAGGTAGGACAGAGTAATTAGGTTAACACAGAGGGCATTTATTTGGTGTCACATCATATGGTCCCAATATTAGCTCTTTATCTACACAAGATGACCAGATGTTAAATACCAGGGACTAAATAAGTACTCTTAATTACTTATAACTGAAGAATATAGTAGAATTGAGGAAAAGCTTTCTTCTAGTATTTTTAACCAGAGATTATAAGTATGAGAATCAAAGAAGTTCTACTCTAATCTAATACTTTGTAAACATAAGTAATAGTACACAGTTTAACCTGCTTCAAAATTTGATACTATCTCAAGGTCAGAAGATTTCTTTAAAGTGAAGAATGAAGGAATTCACATGCTATACTGTTTTCCCATGAAAAACAAACATTCTATTTTATCCCTGCATGGAGGGATGAATAAGCAGACTATGCAGCTAAGCAATGGTGGACCCAAAGTGCACTAGGTCAAGACACCTGTTCTGTATTTGATATTGAGGAAGATTTGGACAATGATGAAGAAGGAGGAAAGGAGACAGCTCCGAAGAGGGTTCCTTGGCACTTTCAAAAGTGGCTTTAGTGTAACCACTGGGCCCCACATCCTAGAACCTTGAGGCCATCAACCATGATAGAAGGTAGAGGAAAATCACATATTTTCATTTTTCCATAGAGAATACAGAATATTAATTTAGCCAACAGTTTCAACGATTCAACTTATCAAGAACAGCTGACAAAAAACCAAGAGATTATCTTATTTAATACTTTTCTTGTTTTCCTACTTCTTTCTTTTGAAGCGACCAGTGAGAATATTCACAGGTAGGCTGAAGGAGATGGAGGAGGGAGAGAATGATGACAATGCCGCTGACTGATCATCTTCTACATAGCTGAAAATTAATTAAGTGCATCATATTGAAACAGAAAAATATTCAGTTAGGAGCCAGGAGACTTAGATTCTAATTGGATTCTTTTAGTCAATAGCAGCAGTTAAAACAACAATAATTACAATTACAAATGATTGAGCTTGTATTATATCAGGTTCTGTTCTATGCACTGTACATAAATTGGTATTTCAGTACATGAATGACACTCATTTAAAGTCAATATTGTTACAGCCATTCAACAGATGTGGAGAGTAAGGCTTAAGCTTGCTTGAGGTTTCGCAATAGAAAATTGGACCTCAGTTTTCTTGTCTGAGAAAAGAGGGGATTTGGGGGGAGGGTTGTTTTTTCATTTAAAGACATGCTTACTTATCATCTACTTAGGCCAAGTGTTCTGTGGAGTTCCCTAGCTGTGATTGAACAGGCTAGCCATGGCCCTGTCTGCAGAGCGCCCTCTACTGGGCTGAAACATCTTCGGGGACCTCCCAGCTCTGTAATCTGCGTTTCTGCTCCGGATTTCTATCCAGTGGTTGAAGTGTATGTTTATTGACTCGCGCTGATCTTTTCTCACATGTCCGTGTGTGTCTGCAGGTGGTGGACAGGGGAGTGGGAAGCATGTTCCGCGACATGTGGGCCCCACGGAGAGAAGACGCGAACAGTGCTGTGCATCCAGACCATGGGCTCAGATGAGCAGGCTCTCCCCGCTCAAGACTGCCAGCATCTGCTAAAGCCCAAGACCCTCGTGTCCTGCAACAGAGACATCCTGTGTCCATCAGACTGGACAGTGGGCAACTGGAGTGAGGTGAGCCCAGGGGCTAAAAGGGACACTGGGGTTATTCATCCTTCATCAGCCCTCTCACCCATCCTCCTCTTATAAAAATTTTTTCTCAGCTGCACTTCTCTTAGAGACCAGATTCTGGGCAGCAAAACTAATTTCAGACTCTACCTCCTGGTGAGGCCCAGAGGATATTACCTGGCTTGGGTAGGAATAACCCAAGAACTGTTCAGGCTAATTAAGGATGAACTCTCATCATGGATGTTTTAACTGGGAATACAGAGATTTAAGATGAAATTCACTTTTTTGGTACAAGGCAGTGTTTCTCTTTTCTTTTTTTCATTGGGCTTCCCTGGTGGCTCAGAGAGTAAAGAATCTGCATGCAATGAAGACCTGGGTTTGATCCCTGGGTCAGAAAGATCTGCTAGAGAAGGAAATGGCTCCTTAAGAGCCTTTTTAGAGGCTCTTTCCTAATTGTCCTCCTCCCTCATGACTTTATTTTTAAGGAGGGAAGTGTTTGTTTGTTTGTTTTAATTGCATTGAGATATAATTCACATACCATAAAATTCACCCATTGAAAGTGTACAAACAAATGCTGCTGCTGCGGCTAAGTCACTTCAGTCGTGTCTGACTCTGTGTGACCCCATAGACGGCAGCCCACCAGGCTCCCCCGTCCCTGGGATTCTCCAGGCAAGAACACTGGAGTGGGTTGCCATTTCCTTCTCCAATGCATGAAAGTGAAAAGTGAAAGTGAAGTCGCTCAGTTGTGTCTGACTCTTAGCAACCCCAAGGACTACAGCCTACCAGGCTCCTCTGTCCATGGGATTTTCCAGGCAAGAGTACTTGAGTAGGGTGCCATTGCCTTCTCCAGTATAGGCAAATGACCTTTAGTATAGTCCCAGAGTTATACAGTCATCCCCACAATAATTTAAGAATGTTTTCATCAACTCCTAAATAAACCCTGCATGCATTAATCATCATCCTAGGTCCCTACCTTAATTCCCCAGCCCTCAGTTCAGTTCAGTTCAGTCACTCAGTCGTGTCCAACTCTTTGCGACCCCATGAATCGCAGCACGCCAGGCCTCCCTGTCCATCACAAACTCCCGGAGTTTGCTCAAACTCATGCCCATCGAGTCGGTGATGCCATCCAGCCATCTCATCCTCTGTTGTCCCCTTCTCCTCCTGCTCCCAATCCCTCCCAGCATCAGGGTCTTTTCCAACGAGTCAACTCTTTGCATGAGGTGGCCAAAGTATTGGAGTTTCAGCTTCAGCATCAGTCCTTCCAATGAACACCCAGGACTGATCTCCTTCAGGATGGACTGGCTGGATCTCCTTGCAGTCCAAGGGACTCTCAAGAGTCTTCTCCAACACCACAGTTCAAAAGCATCAATTTTCAGCACTCAGCTTTCTTCACAGTCCAACTCTCACATCCATACATGACCACTGGGAAACCCATAGCCTTGACCAGACGGACCTTTTTTGGCAAAGTAATATCTCTGCTTTTTAATATGCTATCTAGGTTGGTCATAACTTTCCTTCAAAGGAGTAAGCGTCTTTTAATTTCTTGGCTGCAGTCACCATCTGCAGTCATTTTGGAGCCCAAAAAAATAAAGTCTGACACTGTTTCCACTGTCTCCCCATCTATTTCCCATGAGGTGATGGGACCAGATGCCATGATCTTAGTTTTCTGAATGTTAAGATTTAAGCCAGTTTTTTCACTCTCCTCTTTCACTTTCATCAAGAGGCTTTTTAGTTCCTCTTCACTTTCTGCCATAAGAGTGGTGTCATCTGCATATCTGAGGTTATTGATATTTCTCCCAGCAATCTCCCCAGCCCTAGACAATCATTAATCCACTTTATATTTCCAGAGATCTGACTTTCTGAACATTTCATATGAAAGAATTATATAATATGTGATCTTAGGACAGATATACCATATGTTTATTTATGTACTCTGAATATATCTGTGCTGTAGACATAAAGAGGGTGAGATTTTTTTTACTCACTCCACCCCAGAACCAGTCTTCATTTTCCCCACTGAGAATGAATGATACTATGTGATACTTAGTTTCTATGCAGAATTTTCCTGACCAGCTGCAGATATCAAAACTGTTCATTTGTTGATAATATATGATTCTAAAAAAAAAAAGAATTCAAAATTTTGCATAAGCAAAGGTACCATCTCTGAAAATAACTATTTGAAAGCAGAAAACACTCATTTGAATACAACCATTTTGATAACTGTATTTCCAAAACTATTTAATTAGCTCATAGTCACACTTTAGGTTTATTTAGCTTCTGCATGCATGTGTGCAAAGTCACTTCAGTCATGTCCAACTCTGCAACATTATGGACTGTAGCCTGCCAGGCTCCTCTATCAATATGCTTCTCCAAGCAAGACTGCTGAAGTGGGTTGCCATGCCCTCCTCCAGGAAATCTTCCCATTCCAGGGATTGAACCCGCATCTCTTATGTCTCCTGTACCACTTTAGCATTTGCACCCCCTGGGAGGCCCTTATTTAGCTTCTAATTCTGTATATAATACTCTCAGGAGCAGCTGGGTGGAAATAAAAAAATATATTATTCCTTTATTATAATAACTGCTAATCAAAAGGGAGGGCTAGGACCCCCAAAAAAAGAAAGACAAAGGTGTACATGCAAAGAAAACATCTACAACCTAATACAGGCGTGTTGCTGGTATTGCACTGATTCATGTGAACACATCAATAACAGGCCAGGGTATTCCCCTGCTGTTCCTGGGAAGGTATAATCACAGCCTGTTGCTGGCCTGACCTATTAGTCCACTGCCAACCTTGATTGCTGTAAATTACAGTGTTGTCAAAATAAGGCTGAATGGGGTATTGTGACTGGTCCATTAAAACTGTTTACCAAAAGTGTGTTGGCTGCATCCAAAGCAGTTAATAATTCTTGTCATGTAGAATTTACTAATTGCCAGAATCTTCATGCTTTTTCAAAAGGACCACAATTACATATTTGGCTGAGGAGTCCTTTTCATTGTGTTTCTGTTTCTGGGGAGCAAAACGATGTGCCTCACTGGACAACAAGGGACTGAAATGTTGGCTCAAAGCGATGAGTGCTCGAGCCTGTTGTTCTGAATAGAGGCCACTGCGCAGTATAGTGATGGCAGATGTGGAATCCAGTGTCCAGTCCCACTGAGAAGCTGAGCAGCTGCCTTCATTTAGAGATGTTGTTAGGAGCGGCGCTTTTAGTTAAATCAGCATCAGAATATTCATTGAGTGCATCTTCCTTTTTTCCCCTCTGCTGTCTTGCTAATGTCTGTACACATTAGCCCTCTAATAAGCTTTACTGAAGCATGAATGTCTTTGACATTCTATACTGGGAAATGTTTTAAGAGATGATACAGTGTTCAAAAAAGAAGTCAGCCAATAAACTTAGAAATGACAAAATCAAGAAAGCAGTAATTTTTCCTACAATTGCACCCAACTGATTAAGAAAAATATGTACTTACTTTTCAAATAAAGGGCCATAAAATAGGGAGGGGGAGATTATATAGTGACTCCTGCCACACGTAGTATTTATGGTCCGTATTTTGTCTTGAGATCAACTGTGATGCTTTTAGAAGCCCGTAGAATGGTCCTCCATGGGATGACCAAGGTAAGAAGAAGAAGAGGCAAATCCATGAGGTGCCCTTCCTGTCAAGAGACCACTGAGGGGAGGGTGGGCTTATCTGTGCCAGGCTGGCCCACTCCTCCCTGACCCAGGAGATTTCAGAAGGAGGAGGTCTCTGCCTTCCCAGGGAGAGTCAGTGGCTGCCCCCAAAGACAGCTTTCCTGCTCCCTGTGACCAACCCCTTCCCCTCTAAGTTCATATTCTAGACACCAGACTCCCACCCCCAATCTCAGGAATCAAGAATCTTATTCTGGTTTTTCCCAGCCTACTTTCTGGGCTTGGAGGGTCCAGAAGGGGGGCTCTATTGTAAATGAAGATAAGTATCAAAGTTTCTGTGGCTCCCACTAGATACCCCACTTCAGTAACATGCCTTTTGAGAGGTGGCCAGTCTAGTGGTGAAGAGCATGCACCTCCCTCTACCAGGTCCAAATCCTGGCTTTGCCACTTAACAGATGCATGAATTTACTCCCCCTGTGGTTACTCTTATCTTCCTGTGACTTATTTCCTCCATCTCTAAAGTGAGGATAACAGTAGTGCTTGGACTCTAGGGAAGTTATGAGGATGAAATGAGCTAATATTCCTAAAATTCTCATAAGAAGAATACCTGGCACATAATAAGCTCTATACCTATAATCATTTTTTGGTAAAGTGAATAAATGGAAATAATAAGAATGTCATCGATCTTTTGTTGGCTGCTTTCCACTCTATTTAAATATCTCACTTAATTCTTGAACTCTATGAGTTTGATTTTAGTTCTTTAATTCCCATATTTCTCCCAGCAGTTAGATTAATAGATTTCCTGGGATAGTAATTTTCCTAGGTTTTCCAGCCTTGGCAAGCTCTAACTGAGCTAGTGTTAAGCCTCTCTCAACCTTTGCTCATTTAGAAAGACAGGATTATCATAAAGTTTGATAATAACCCATGTGAGCCCTTCACATAGTGCCTAGCAAATAGTAAAGTGAAAGTGAAAGTCGCTCAATTGTGTCTGACTCTTTGCGACCCCATGGACTGTACTGTCCATGGAATTCTCCAGGCCAGCATACTGGAGTAGTTAGCCTTTCCCTTCTCCAAGGGATCGTCCCAACCCAGGGATCGAACCCAGGTCTCCTGCACTGCAGGCAGATTCTTTACCAGCTGAGACACAGGGAAGCCCAAGAATACTGGAGGCTTCACTAAATGGGGACTTTATTATCAGGCAAGAAGACAAGGGTCTGTTTTCCATATTACTCTCACTTTTCAAGCCTTGTCCAGTCAGTGGCGCCCAAGTTCCCTGACAGAATTGATCTGTGGCCCTTGCATTTTCTTTAAAAAAAATTTATTGAAGTATAGTTGATTTACAGTGTTGTGCCAGTGTCTACTGTATGGCAAAGTGAATCA